CAAGACCACCCAAGGTTTGGTAATTTACTGAGAAGGACTCACAGGACTCAGCAGACAGTCATTCTTGGAGCTTTGATTTATTACATTTAATACAGTGAAAAGACACAAAGCAAAATTTGAGAAGGGAAAAGGTGCATGTGTCAAAGTCTGGAGGAAGCCAGGCACAAGCTACAGGAGTCATCTCCTGTGTAGTTACCAGGATGTGCTTAATTCCCCCAGCCTCAAATTTTGAAAACATATGTACAATGTTGTCTACCTTACCAGAGTTTCTTTAGAGGCTCAGCACCCATGTTTTAGATGGAGGCTAGTCACATAGGCATCCTCTCCTCTCCTTCACATGTACCAAAATTCCAGACTCCTAGGAGGAAATGAACTGTTCATAGTAAACCACATTTGCATTTGCACAAACAGTTTAGGCGCGGTGAGCCATTCCCTTCTTCTAAGTTAGGGAATGGTGGGAGCCCTTCCAAATTCAAGGTCCTGAACACCAGTCAAGAACCAGCCTTGCAAGCAAGTCTTTCTAAGGATGGCTGTCTCGTGCCTGCTATATGAAATCCTTGCTGCCCAGCAGCTATGGCCCTGACTAAATTTTTGGTGTTATCATAAAATCTGATGTAATATGATAGCAAATAATAGAATGATAGACCATAACATGGTACTTGTTTCAGTTGCATCATTCATATTAAGTAGCAATGCTACTTACAGTTTTGACATTTGGTGAATACTTAACAGGTATTTGTACATAAGTTACTATGGCAATATTAAGTAATTATAATCTGTCCTAATCTGATTAAACTTTCAGTAAAATTGTGGATAAAATGGGCATAATAAGTTCTGATTTAAAATTAGAATAAAAGTTGTCTTTCATTTTATGTACATGGATGTACCAGTTTTGATTCTTATTGTATTAAATCCCTGTTTATAATTATGAAATAATGATTAGATAGTCAATGATTTTTATCATTTTTTTTTGCCTATGCAGTTAATTGCTTTATGTGTTTTTATATACTTCAATTTGGGAGCTTATACTCATATTCTGTTACCTTGATCTTTAGTGATTCACAGTTTTCAAGGTGAAAATTGTCTTTTTATGATTTAGGGTAATAGCAAGTTCTGTATGTTTTTTAAAATTCATAACATTATTTTCCAAGCAGTTTTAGATTCACAGCAAAATTGGGAAGGTACAGAGATTTTCCATATTCCCCATGACCCCAGACATATGGGTAGCCTCCCTCATTATCAGTACCCCCATCAGAGTTCATCAGAATTACAGTTGAGGAACCTACTTGGACAGACACATCACCCCCAAGGTCCACGGTTTATGTTAGGGTTCACACTTGGTGTTGTAAATTCTCTGCTGTTGGACAAATGTGTAATGGCATGTATATATCCTTGTAGCATCATAGACAAAAGAGTTTCCCAGCCCTAAATATCCTCTGTCCTCTGCCTTTTCATCTCTTCCTCTCCGCTGGCTTCTGGCAACCATTGGTCTTTTTGGTGTCTCCACGGTTTTGCTTTTTCCAGACTTGTCATATAGTTGGAATGAAAGAGTGGATATCTTTTTGAACATTTAAAAAATAAAGTTCCATGGTAATTTCATTCTGTCATTTTAGATGTTCTTTGTCCTTGCCTTTGTTTTCCTCATGTCTTGTTCATCAGCATAGGATCTGATGACATATGACTTGACGTGCTGAGAAAGCGTGATTTCTATAGACATTTGCCATGTAATGGGGGAGAGAGGGGAAAAATGGCATCATGCAGTACTCCACAGCAGGAGATGGGTCCAGATAGACTCTAGCAATGGGATGGGATAATCTCAAGAGCTGGACTTTATAAAACTGGAATCACTAAGTCTTGCATACTTACCTTGCATTTAAGAAGACCAGGCAGTGAATATGACAGGTGAAAATAAATATGTTCCTCACTGATTCTCTTCCTTTTAGGGATGAGTTTGAAAACAGTCTATATTATTATAACATGGCTCATCTACAGTTAGATTCCTTGTCATAGGAAATGCCAGTGTTTTGCTTTACAAGAACTGAAAAATAATTTTGTTTTCGCCAGCGAGAGCAACAACTGTTGGCACATTCTGGTAGTTTGAGTGAGTTGATAGTTGTGTTCATATGTATTTTTCCTATCAGATCGCACTCCCTGGCAACCTGCCACCGCTGTGGTAGTGTTTCTTCTTGAGCTTCTCTCTGAATGAGTGGTATGGCTCAGAGTGAATAAGCTCTTTAAGGGAGTGATCTTTCCAGTGGTTCTTTCCGTGGGAGGTAAAATGGGAGTGAATTTGAGCCTTGTTTGTGCTAGAGAAAATAGCTAGAAGTAAGTAAACATAACCAGCATCAGCCCCAGAAGAGGATTACTGAGAGTGAATACACTGATCTCCCTTGAGTTCTTCTCTACTGGCAGTAAAAAGTCTTTGCAAAGATCCTTGTCCCTGGTCTGATTCCTATGTTTTGCCATATGACATAGCACAGTACCCATAAACCTAGCTTCCTTGTGCTAGGGTGTTTTTTCCTAAACTGAACAGTTTTAACTGAAGATCTGGAGAAGTTAGGTTGTGACACAACAAAATGTAGTTTCCTGACCTTATCCAAGGGGGATATGTTCCAAGACCCCCAGTGAATGTGCCTGGAACTGTGGATGGTATTGAACCCTAGATATGCAATGACAGATTAGAAGGAAGAGGATAAGAGTAAAAGGGGGAATAAAGAACGAGGAAGGCAGAGAGTGTAGGGAGCAAATGAAGGGAAAAGAAGCAGGTGCATATGATGGAGGGTGGTAAAATGAGACAATACCTCAGAAAAAGAAGAGTGGGGTATTAGGAAGGTGGAAAGAATGTAAGGTCAATGTGTAGCAACAAAACTTATCAGATAAGACAAACTTTACTTGCCAACATGTGAGCTGTGCTTTAATTATTTCATCGTAGTGTGGCTATACTGATGATTTTAAGCCAGTCAGATATTCTGGTTAGCAGACCGTGTGTGTGTGTGTGTGTGTGTGTGTGTGTGTGTGTGTGTGTGTGTG